CAGCTCCAGCACCAGCTTCAGCCTGCATTGCCTTCATTAAACGTTTGCCTGTCAGGCTCAGATTGGGCTTTTTTTTGTACCCTCTAGTCGTAGAGTTCTTAGGGTACATGTACTGTGGAAAACGCTAGGCTTTTCCGGTCCAACAAAGTGGTGCTTATGGGACAGTATAAACTAGATCCGATCCTCATGGATTTGGCAAGATAGTCTAGGAACTAAAGCCAGATCCACTTTTACTCGATTTCATATATTAAACTGCACTTACCGCTCATAATCAAAGGATTCCCGAGAGCCTTCTTTAACAGCGGGTATTCTATAGTCGATATATCGCCTATATAGTATATCATTATTTTTTGTGTGCTTTTTTTTGGTTTTTTTTTGGTTTTTTTTTTTTTATTGTTTGTTGGCTACGGCAGCTGCTGTCGGCTCTCGGCTGTCGCTGCTGCACTGCGATGAGTTGTTGAAAAGTTAAAATGGATTTTACGCAAAAGTTTTTAATTTGCTGCTGTTATCCCACAAATCGTTGACCGTTGAAGAAAATTTCTATTCTCTTTTTATTCCAACCCGCTTGTAATTATAATCTTGAGCTGCCGCTCTTGCCCCCCGCTTTGCGAGCGAGAAACTTATTAATGGGGGGCCTTAAGAAATTCTACCATTCCGTTTTAGTGTGACCAAATGACAATCATCGATAGTGTGAAGAAAATTTGAATTGCATTTGGAATTTGAGAACAAACTCATTATAAACTTTAGCGATTCTTTCGTACTCTCAATGCATTGTTCCTGGAACTTTTGTTGGAAAAGCTGTTATGAAACAGTTTCAAAAACCAACCAATTCTCTGCGAACCAGTTATCAGAGTTGAACACACAATTTTTGCATTAAAAGTTACACAATGCCTTTAAAGGACCAACCCACGCACAGTGTCTCAGTCTCAGTCTCTTGGTGCCTCAGTCTCTCAGGGTTTTGAGCCAAGTCACCATCAACGTCTAGACATTGGTAAACAGAGGACAAAAGACTGTGTTTTTGCCACTATTGAAGCGGAACAAAAGATCTCAGGCGAAAGAAAAGTGCGTTGGAAGTTTTTCGGTTTTTTCTTATGCCACTTCCTCTATGGCACTTCGAAGTTCGAAGTGCATAATTGTGGGCTCTAGATATGAAGAGTTTCTCTGGAGAAATCGAATATTTGGAACGTAAAGTAAACTCTGTGCGGGAAACCAGTCTCTACATGGGGATATAGGCAATCTTCTTCCAGCCATTCCAGCTGCCAACTGTGTCTCGTCTCTGTCTTGGCTGCATCTCTCCAGCATCTCTCAAGTATGCACCAAGGCAATTTGCAATTTATATTTGGTTAGCCAAGTTGTCAAGGAAGCGGCTGCACTTGCAACGTGAGACAATTGCAACAGGCTGTACACACACAGAGACACACAGAGATGCGAAGAGGCATACACAAATTAGTTAAATTACAGGCGCTTCTCTTTTGGCTTAGTTGATTAGAAAAAGTGGCATCCAGGCGAGTTGGCTCCGGCAACATCTTGGCATCTTAAGCACTCGATTCGATGTTGCCCTCTCTCTTCTTTCCTTCTTTATTTCTTTCCCTGCGTGGCTCCTATCTCAGTTACTCTGCCAGCCAGTGGGGCTCGTTTTCTTTGGCAGCTTTTGCCGCTAACGAAGCTCAATTCGAGCGCCAAATTGAAATTGATTGTGACATTTGATCATGCGTTTGCCTCCGACTCTGACTCCGACTCTGCCTCTGTCCTTGCCTTTTCTTTGGTAAGAGGCACGAACGTAGACTGTGACTGGAGACAGCGGTTTGTTGCTGCTGGTTGTTGTCTCTGGAATTTGTGCGGAAAATTGCTAAAACGGTAGGCGCGCAGGTGTGCCTCTGCCTTTGCCATTTCCTCCTCTTCGTTTTCCCACATGCGTGGCACTCCACCTCCTTCAGATACGCACTGGATTAATTGGACGGATGTGCATTGGGCTGATGAGTTGAGCCCCAACTGGAGAAGGCTGAAATGCAGCAAAGCTGGTGGGCCGCTCTGTCAGAGATTAACTTGAGTTTCATTTAAAGGCACACAACAGAAGAGCAAAAAGTTTAAATTGCTTGGGTGAATGGGAAAAATGCCAAGACACGGACAGCAAAATGGAAATATGTGACTGCCATGAAAAGGGTGATTGAAGGAAATTAAGAAGTGACCAAGAAGTGAGTGGATTTGAGCTATGCACATGGATTACCAGTTCAGATGGAGTTATCCATACCCATTGTATAATCCATACACCACCAACGTTGCAATGTCGGATTCAATGCGTATCCTTTCACTGAAACTTTGTGGCAACTGTACCTCAACAATTTACCTGCCGTTGTTTATCCAGCCTCAGCCAACTCAAGAACTATGCAAATCGACTCGAGACTTGGGGGGGAGGGGCGCCACTCTACGCCTAAGCTCATCTCAGAGAACATTTCGCTGGTAAATGGCTCGCAATCCCCACATGAATAATTACCGCGCACGCAGTTCATTTAATTTCACTTTCGGCGGGTGGTGGGTGGTGGGTGCTGGGTGCTGGCTGAGCGGAAGAACCCTTTTCGCTGGCAGCTCAGCGAAATGCGGCAGCCACGGCACATGAATGGAAATATTTAATGAAGAAATTTATAACAAAGTTTTACAAATGGCGGCAGACTGTACGAAATGGCTGCAGATGCGTAGGGGGAGGCCGGGTGAAAAACAGAGGGTTGGGCCATTAAAAAAAATTATGAACATTAAATGTAATTTAAGCTAATCAATTAAGTCGAAATTGTGCTGAAGATTGGCGACGCCTTCGAGTATGCAATGGCTTTAAATTACGAGTACGCAGAGAGGCAGAGAGAGTGAGCCAACTTCTGGCCCATTTGCTGCCTAACCCAATTAGCCATTAGGGGGGACGCCCACTCCCCCGACAAATGACCGACATTGAAATGAGGCTGGAGAGGAGATAGGGCAACGATCAATTGAGGAAAATCTCACTGCCCCGCATAACCCTTTGCTGTGCTGTGTAGTGTAGTGTGGCGCATAGCTGAGTTAATGATTGGAAATTAATTTATCAGTGGGGGGAATGGCATGGGGATAGGGGAGGCAATTGGGATTAGGCCATTGCGTAGACGAATTGCAGGCAATTAGCAGGGAGAACAACGACCGACAACAGTGGAAGGACAGAGACAATGCCAATGTTTCCCGGGTGATTCCTTAGGTGCGCGGGGTCAGGTGCAGGCGGATAGCTCCACTTAACGAACAATGGCTATCGATGTGAGTGGAGTTGAATTATTGATACGAATTATCGGTGCGTTGAGTTCATGTATATAGATAGAGAGAGAGAGAGAGATACCAATGAGAATTATAGTATGGGAATGAAGGGAAACTAAGAGGATGAATTCATGTATAGAAAGGACTCCTATTGATAAATACAATAGGGAGATTACGGGAAACTGGGAATAAACTGGGAAAAGTGAGCAGGGAACCAGAGGAATAAATCCAAAAGCTGCACGAGAAGTGAGTGGGAAGAGGTACCTGTGCTTATTAGTGTTCCACATTCAACTATTACCCACCAGTCGACCGACCCATTATGGTAAGCCCTGGGGCTACCCCTTTCAATGAAATTCTTTAACGACCGCCTCTAACGAACCGAAAGAATTCAAGCCAAACAATAAAAAGGCGTCACCAGAGCCGGGAGGGAGCCAACCAACTGCCGGCTTGAATGGGCCTAATCAAATTAGGTACTAATCCTTGGGAAAAACCGCGAACAATTTAAAATGATTGTTAAGTAAATTTCCCAAAACAATTACGACACAGCGAGCAGCGATTCTCGTAGAGCGACGAGTCCAAGGCGCAGGCGCCAGAGAGAGAAGATTTTCTATAGCATGCGAGAGTGTTATTTATAGCATGCGAACTGTGCATGAAAAAGGACTTTAGACTTCCGGCGAAGGACTTGCCTTGCTCTTTACATATGTGTAGATTGTTAGCGAGCAGATGGCCATTGAGCAAGACAAGACGACAATAATGAGTTGGCTTTTTCGGCTGGAAGTTGGGGCAAAGAGGTGCCCCAACTTTTTGGAGCAACTGATGGAAGGATAATCCACTTAGGAGCGACTCCCTGCAAAGGCGAAGGGTTTCCTAGGGGCGACAACGCTGCATATACGTACATATGTACATATGTCGGTGGGGGGGAAATTGTTTTATTACCCAAGCGAAGCCGTTGAGTGTGTGTTGACTGAAAACAAAGGTGCGCACAATAAATTACATTGTTACACGGAAACTTACGACCAGGACCAGGACACGGACACACACACATGGAACCAGATACAGACACGGACATGCTTAGACACAGACAAAGGGTGGTCGGGGCCGGGGTCGTCCTGGCAGGAAGTCAGCAACAAGCGTCGCGTTAATGAAAAGGATTTCTCTGCCATCGCCACATGTCTGCAGTTAGTTCTCCTGCTCGCTCCATCCATTCCCCTGCACTTGAAGTGACTTTCCGCTTTTGGGTTATTTAATATTTAAGCGCTGGCCAGACTGTAGATGTCCTGAAGACGGTGGGCCCTTTTCTTTGATGTGCTCGACCCATTAGTTGAGGTCTGAAACTGCTGCATAAATAAACGCCTCAGTTCATTACTGAGTCTCCGCCTCAGCATCTCTGCTCGATTCTCAATTCGGAAAAGGGTTTTACTGGGTCTCTGCGGTTCTCTATTCCAACAGTTGCTGCGGTCGCCTTTGAGGCATGAAAGTGCGTGAAAGTGTCATAAGCCAGCAGCGACGGAGACGAAAGCGGAGGGAATGGGTGGACTTTATGACAGACCACAGTAATGGGGCTTTAGGTTGCTGTTTGTGGGTTTTCCTTACAAATTAATGATATCTTAATCGATGCTGTGTAGTAAAACTTTGAAGAGATTCCCCAGAGAAGCAGTGGATAATGAACTGAAAAGTAACCTTTGGAAACCCCCTAAAAAAACAAAAACGAATCCCAGCAACCCCCTGGCCACATATCAGCTGACAACAGTTTCACTTCCATCAAAATCAGTCAGAAATCATAGATCAAAATTCAACAAACGCTTTTTCCGTTTGCAATATTTGTGTGCCCTTGTGCCATCCAGTTAGCTTAATGGGTTCAGTGGTCAGTCAATTGCAGACCCCTGCTCTGTACGTGAACATGAACAGTCCGCAAGCGCAGTTTGTGCGCGACACGATCAGCACTAACAAGGTGGTGATATTCAGCAAGAGCTTTTGCCCCTACTGCAGCATGGCCAAGGAGCAGTTCCGCAAGCTGAATGTGAGCGCGACGGTGATCGAGCTGGACCAGCGCGACGATGGCAACGAGATCCAGGCAGTGCTGGGCGAGATGACCGGGGCACGCACTGTGCCGCGCTGCTTCATCGATGGCAAGTTCGTGGGAGGCGGCACCGATGTGAAGCGCCTCTACGATCAGGGCATACTACAGAAGTACTTCCAGTGATCCACACTTGAGAGCTTTTATCCCCCACCACTTGAATTACGTTTGAATAAACAAATACTTTCAGTTTTTCGCTTGCTCAAATACACAGAGTACATTTATCTCCTTGAAGAGTATCCTCACTACAAAAGAAAAAGAACAATAAGACAATGGGGGTAGGCAGCAGATGTTTGCCTTTTATGCCTTTTATCTGCTCAATATGGCGCTCAACGGCGCTCAACGGGGGATCACAACGAATCGAGGAAGTGAAAACTTATGCAGGGAGTGCTGAAAGGCAGAGAAGGACTCGGGTCTCGGGTTGACTGCGCTTTCTTTTGCAGCTGCACACCTGCCAGCAGTCGGGGCGCTTTCTTTTGTGCCCCATTGTTGTGTCGGGAGTTGAGTTGAGTTTTTACTACCCAGTTTGCATATGAAAAATTTAAAAGTCAACAGGCGGCAGCCAGCGGTAAAGGCTTTGAGCGATACACTCCGGAACAATAATTCTCAATGAACCATCGGCTGCTGGCTGAATATGGATTGACTCAGAGTTCAACACAGTCTATCTGAGTCAAATCAAAGTCCTTTTATTTCCCCAAAAGTGAATGAAAAGCAAATGAAAATCCCTCAATTGATTTCACTCTTATATTCTGGCTTGCTTAAGCCCCAACATTAAATTGCTTGCAATTTGTTTTGTTGTTTTCGTAAATTGTTTTCCTAGCATTTTCCATTTGAAAATCACTTTAACAATGTCAAATTACTGACACACAGAACTGCAAATTGCTCGGTAATATCGCCTCGGCAGGTGCAGCTAAAACGGGTAAAAAACGCTCGTGCATACGTGTCGTATGCGTAATTTGGCTTATCGATTGTTTTTTTTTTTGGTTCGTTCTTTGGGGTTAAGCGGCGCGTACAGCCTGCCAGAAGGATTGATTGTGGAAATTGGTGAGCAATCAGGTCTTATTTTTTAGCCATGCCGTTGAATTGGTAAACAGACTATTTTTTTGGAATTGTTAGTGGAATAAGAAGGTCGAAAGGTAATAATGGAAGCATCAGGTATGTATGTAAATAGTTTATTCCTCGGTAAAGGGATTACCGCTCTTATGTTCTCATGCATCATTCTTGTATTAATCGTATCTTGTAGTCAATTTTCGAAAGTATTCTGTCTCCTTTCTGGTCTTGACACTCCCTCGAAAGTGTTCACTCTCCCTCTCGAGCACCGTAAACTTTATATGCAACCAAGTGCCAAACTAACCTTCGACAGAGCCAAAAGTCCCCACAATGTTGCTAGCATATTCCTATTACATTTCCTTCTGATGTCCCTTAACTTTACTTAGCAGTAAAACTAACACATTTTCCGTTCAACTAAGTACAGAATTTGTTCTTTATTCTTTTAGAATGATCCCATAACAATAGCTGCAACTTTTAAAAGATTATTTTCAGCAGATATATTTCAGGTTTCATTCAAGCTTTTGCTTCCCTTTCTCCTGCTAAGGTTTTAAAGTACTTTAGTACTTCTAAAAATCTCTCTAATCCAACATAGAGTATTCAACTCTTCGGCAAGCCTGCTTTAACCATTTAAAAGTTTTTAGTTGCTGGACTTAGCCAGCGTGAAAACTTGTTATGGCTACCATCACGAAGAGCATTTACAACTGCAATGGAATGGAAATTTTTTTATGATCCCCAGGCGCTTGGCCATAATTTTGTTCCTTTTTTTTTGCTGTTGTGGAACACACAAACAAACAAAAATGGTGTGTTGCAGTGGCATATAACTTTGTTTTAATTTGTTGAAGGATGAGTGCAATTGCCACTGACTGACTGACGAAGCGAGCGCATGGGGGCATGGGGCATCTCTCCCGTATCTGTGTGCCTTAATAAAAAATGCATTTGGCAGTTTGATTGCGATATTATCTTCTTGGCAGATCCCGTCCAGGCCGCAGCAACATTGTCGCGTCACCTTTAATGTCCAGAGATTTAATGCACAGACATTTTTTAATGGCTAATTTTACAGGGGCGTGGTCGAACAATGTATTTGCCACCTCAATCTCCCGTGGGGAGACCATTCAATCTCCCAATTATCCGCCCGTTAGGTTTTCTACTGTACAAAGAAAATGTCTAAAAATTTATTAGAATTTTCCTCCCGGCAGACAAGTTGGCCGTTTGAATAGTTTTCCTGGGCATCTATCTACTCCTCGCCGCCGCCGCCTAAAATTGTGGCAGCCAGACCCTGGCTAGACCAGCCATATATCATATAGTTGCCCCCAGAACTCTGTCTACCACCACGATGCATGTGCATGCATCTGTCTGTGTGTTTCTCTGTGTGTGCAGTGCAGCTTCTTCTTCGCTTGTGATAGACGATTTATTAAGCGTTTTATTATTAGTTTTCTCGCTTGGTGGCTTTTGTGGCATTTTTGATTACAAATTCCGGGCATCAAGTGTTGTAATTACCAAAAAAAAGGACCATGCGAGAGGAGGAGCATCAGATTAGAGATTCTTTTTGCGGTTTCCAAAATAGATGGGGTACTGGGGGATTACATAAATTTTCTTTACTTCTCGTTAAAGTTTTTCATTGCAGATGATATTGGGCAAACGTTTGTCGGACTTTAAAGAGTATTAGGAATATTTATTGAATATGTTTGGAAACCTTCTTCAATCATTCAACTAATGACAGCCCATCAAGCTGAACGACATTGCCCTGTAAGAGCGGCTGGAAATGTGTTAAAATTTCTCAAAACGACACTCGCACGTAACATGTCATGCCAACATGTAATTATATTAGTGCCTGTATTTCTTTGTTTTACACATGCCATCCCCATGCTCCACCCATACATTCGTCTCTCTGTGCCATTGCTCCAGCCAGCGCTGACTTTGAGCTTGTCCAGGCTTTGGTCATGGCCATGCAACAGAGATCTTTTCAGGTTGATAAAATACAGCGGGCGGGTCACCCACCGACAAGAATCGGGGGGAAGGCAACGCACGTGTTAACAAGGGATGCGATAGAAAAAGTAAAAAGGAAAAAAGTAGAGCCAAGTGAGGAAGTAAACCCTCGAATGACAGGAAATATGTGTGCGTGACATTGTTACTGTGGCTCTGGCACCGGAAGCAGCAGTGGGTGGCTCCTCCTATTGTTGCCATTTCTGTGAACACGAAAGCAACAGGATATACAGAAAGAAATTATTGTACCTGGTTAAGGAATGCATGGCAGCATTGATACGAACAAAACAAAAAACCCCCAAAGAATGAACAGACAAAGAGAAAGAGTGAGAGTGAGAGAGCGGAGATTTCGAACTGCAGCTGTACTGATAACTGATATTCCTTGACGCTGAAAAAATTTTGTTTGGGGGAATATTAATAAATAGATAAAGATATATCACTTTTTATCTGGCTGGGGGAGGATTCTCACACCAACAACTAAGCCATAAATTTTGTATTAAATAGAATAGAATGTGGTCGGGTGGGACTGGCTGTTGCCACAAAACTTTGGTCTTAACTTTCAGCCCCCTGAACAATTGGCAGCTGCAATTCCCCTTGGCATGATCACACCCGTAATTTGATACCTTGCGATGGCGTTATAGCTAAACTTTCAACTTTCGGGCCATTAATCAATTAATTAGGTATTTTATGAATATTTTAGCATGGAGATGGGGATGGTGATGGGGAGTGGGAGTACTTGGCCATCATCGCCGTATGATTTCAGGGGAAATTCAGCGTTCCGAGCGGAGTTTACCTTAACGCGACCGCATGAATATTTTAGCTAAATGTTTGAGGAAGTTCGAGCTGCCTTGGAGTTCGAGCTGCCGTTGACGTAGATAATAATAAGCTGAGACGAGGGCATTGCCTTTTCCCAGAGAAAAAGGGATAATGAGTTGGCTTCCAGTGGGGGTTGTTCATCAACTTTCTAAGGAATAAGCAATAAGAGCATAAAGCAGAAGAAAGGAAAAAAGCAACCAACTTTCCGACTAATTAATTAAATGCGCTATAAAAATTGTTTGCTGTTGTTAGTGCTGGAAAAAGTTTTCAGCGCATTTACGGGACTTGCCAGCCAACAATGTTCCAGCAGCAAAGAGTGCACGACGGCCAAGTGCTCAAGTTATTCGAAAATATTTAACCAAAAAATTATGCAGGTGTTTTAGCCGGATGGGTGCCAGAGGATCCACATTGCAAAAGAAATTCCTCTCCCCCATTGTATTGACAATTTAATTTTTTGTCCTCTCACGATAAGGAAAAAGTTTTTAATGAGTTTGCCAAAATGCCGCGCAATGCCGCGGATAACTGGAGATGATTTGTCGGCAGTCAAAAGTTTCGACTCATGCGAACGTTAGTCACGATTAATTTATTAGTATTCGAGAATTTTATTTAAGAGAAAAGAACTGGCTCGGTATAACAGATAACAATAATCAAAGTTTATGCAAAATTTTGGGACCGAAACATGTATGTTTTCTTAGTAAATTACTCTGGGGAAACTCTCAAAAAGATTTTGATAAAGCTTCCCAGACGCAGCAGCAGCAGCTGCATTGGGCTTCCATTTGATTCTTTTCAGAATGAAGTCATCTACCTAAGGCGATACCTTTAGTCATCTAAGTAACTCCTGCAACTGACAACATTTCTGTTGATTTCGTATTGAATCAGGTTGTGAACATTCTATAACTGATTCAAGTGTCCAGTGCAGTTCCAGTTTCAGACCCAGCAGCTTGTTCCCTTCCTATTTGAAAATCGCTCATTTGTCAGCATCATTCGCAATAGCTGTCAATGGCAAGAAACTCTGAGTCTGGGAATTCTCCCCACATTATTCAATGCGTTGCCCGTTGCAAATACTCCACACATCCGTCTCCCCATCCGACTCCCCGAAGTTACACTCACTCCATCACATATGTACCTGCCCCACACATTAATGGTCAATTTCATTTCGATTTGATTGTGTGCTTCTGGGCTGGTCGGACGAACCAAGACCACTGGACAGACCCAGGAACAGCCTCTTGCAAATTACCACCGCCTCCTGCGGAGAGCGTTCGTAGCGCTCATTGAATTCAATGCCCTATCCAATCCCCTTGCCAAGGACCTCATGTGGGTTTGTCAAATTAGCGCATCGTTTGTTGTGTGCTCCTTTCGGCGGAGAAGTAATGGCAAAAACGGAATTCCAGGAGAAGAAACTTGTTAACTTTAAAGCAAGTGCCTCAACTGGCCATTTCCTTGCCACTTGTAAGTCGCAGCGGGTGCGGAGAGCCTCACGGGGCGAGACACGAATATTTACCATATCTCAAAGATTGCTATGCAAATTAAATCATAAAAAATGTATTGTGTCAAGGTCTAACTCAACCGTAAGACTCCAATTACAAATGCCTCTGAACAGGCTGAATGCCATTCCAATTCCGTTTTGCCAAGCAATCTTCTATCCCATCCCATCGAAACTGCTATCCCTCCCTGGGCACACATCAATGGCATCCACTTTGGTATCGTTATTTGATGGCATCGCACAGCCGTTGCCATTCATCAAACAAGCGAATGGATATTACTTCATCGAGTACAATATTAAATACTTGAACGGAGCGAACATCGAAATTGTCAACGAACAACAATCGAAACGACCTCAAAGTGTGGGCCAGGCGCTAGGCGGGGTGGCTGCGATTGGTTGGGGGCTTGAAACAAAAGTAAATTGCAATAAAAGTTTTGTAATTGACAAACGGACAACAAACAAAACTCCACTTCAGTTGTCGTTGTGCTGGACAGCAGGAACAGCAGCAAGAGGGAGCATCGGGGTGGGAAAGGCAGAGCAGGAGGAGCAGCAGGAGCAGCAGGCACAGCAGGAACACCAGTGCTCAGCAACGGATGGTAGTATGTGGTTAGGCATGGAGGAGGATGTTAGTCTGTTTTTGTCCCAAACAACTGGCGCTCGGAATCAACAAAAACCGATTTTGCCCCCGAAAAACAGGAAGCGGCAACAGCAGCGACAGCGTTGACAAAAACTGTAGGAGGCCCAGTTCTGGTCCGGGGAATCCTGAATCCTAAATCGCCCTTCCCATTCCCTACTCGAGTGGCCTGGCCTGGTTGTCTCATCATTTCGTACATTTGCGCCCGCATATTGACTTTGAGCATGGGGCATGGGCTGGGGGATGGGGCGCACAAACGATTCACAGATTTAAGAAATAAAAGTTTAGTGCCCCAACGAGCAAATCTGCCACCAATGCCAAGCGGCTAACCCACACAGACAGACATACATAGACTCTGAACACACACACACACACACACGATGGGAAGCAGGAACAACAGGGAGTTGTACCCTCTGTCAAAGCAAACAAAAGACGCGTCTGTGGTTGCACCTCACCCCTTCCTGCCCGCTGGCTGTCGAACGCAAAATGTCGACGGTGGTTAGGACTTTGACTTGTTTGGTGCCAGCGACAGGATAGAATCAGAATCCAGAACCCAGAACCCAGAGCCCAGATCGGGATGGTAGAATGGCTGTTGGATGGTTGGATGCTTGACTGGGCTGCAGGGCTCATTGGGTACGAGTAAATAGACTCACTCGATTCGTGCACAAGGGGCGGAGGAGGGAAGTGTAAGTTAAAACCCATGGCAAAACAAGTGCAATCTGCTTAAGGTGTTGACTAAAGTTAGCCTTCAACTAAGTTACGCTAAGAGACTTACATACATACGTATGTACATATGTATATGTATATGTACGTGGCATGCCACTTTTCCTAGTTACGTTTTCCTCGTTCCTCTGTTCTGTACGTTAAATGCAATTTAAAACAATTTGTCAAAGAGAGAAGAAAAACGAAAGAGAATGAGAAACTCGAACCGAAAATGTGAAAATGAAAATAATAATGAAAAAATGAATTATGAACTTATATACGCGACAGACGTCCCCGAAGGACCTTACCACTTCCGCTCACCCCCAACCGCACCCCACCACAGCACTCTCTTACAGTGTGGTACGTGAGTGGAAAGCGCAAAATTGTGTGGCATAAAAATGTGATTGTGTGTATGTTAAGTTTGGCACGCGCCACGCCTACAATAAACCGCAAAAGTCATAAGAGTGGGTGATGGCGATAGAGATAGAGACACACAGATAGTTGCCCCCCGTTGCCCGCAAAAGCATGCAACATATTTCACAGTTCGAGGCAGATGGCAGCAAAAATAAGAAAAGGACAAAACAGACCCCAGGGACGACAGTGTGCTGCTGCTGCTGCTGCTGCTACTGCTCTCTGTGCCATGGTGCCATGGTGTGCCCCCAACTGTCAGCACACGCCTACACTCATAGGCGTGACTGTTGGCCACAGTACGCTCCCAGCTCCCAGCTACCAGCTACCATCCCCCTCCCACACCTCTCAAATTGGAAGAGAATTTTGACTTATGAGCGCTCTGGGCGTAAGTTATACTTAACTACATGCCGCAAAAGTTGCCACAACTTTATTGCCATTTCATGTGCCATTAAACACAGCAGAGCGAAAGAGATGGCATGCGTGTGTATGTATGTGAGAGGGAGATGACAGGCGACACCGAAACGGCCTGCTAATCTGTTGATAAATAAACAAAATGCACAACTTGATGGCTTCATTCCACCACGTCCCGCAAAAACAACCAGGCATACGAGTACGCGTGAGGAGTGGAGTGTAAGAGTCGTTGATAAATGTCATGGCATTTTTACCTGTGAGAACAATGGCCACACTTTTTCACCATCCACCCACTCCTACTCCTGCTCCTGCCCCTGCTGCCTTCCCCTCTTCAGACATGCTGCTCACGTCGCTGGCACGCAAATGTGACCAGAGAGCCATTGAGAACGCGCTCAGTGTTTGTAGCTTTTGTTGCCGTCATTCATCACAGTCAGTCAGAGATAGTGGGAGAGAGAGAATGTGCATAAGAGAGAGAGAGAGAGAGTGGGGTAATATTTAAATAAAGAATTGTCACTTTGACACGTCTGATGCGTGCCCAAATGGTTACCAATTTTCCCACACTCCATCCTCAACGCACTTTTGACGCCAATATCTATTCGAATATTCGATAGCTTATTTATTCATTGAGCTAACCTCAGTCACCGTACGACTTGAGAAGATATAATATATGCATTGATCTTTAGATTATACACTTAAGGCACTTCGGTGTATTAGCACAGGATTAAAAAGCACGGCTGCAGCTTTTTAATCGCTCTAGAGAGGGCATTAAATTGCTCTAAAGCTTTGGAATTAGTCAAGGCTTACCACATCCAATTGCCATTGATTAGCCGTAATCAAAAATAGCACTGCCATCTAAGAGAGAGCGATGTACTGAACTGAAATAGATTCAAAGCCTTTGAATAGAATGGTTCGTGTGTGGATCTTGAGGGTGTCGCTCCTGTGCGTATCTGTGGATGTGCTATGTGGATCTATGCTGCGGATGCCGAACTTCCTTTGTATTCCGCCATATGTTGCAGAACAGGGACGCTGTGTTCTGCCCACATCATAATATCCCAACACATACACCTCAACAGACATCGCAGAAATTCACGACGATATCCCAGCTTATCACTGCATATATCCCTACCATACCAATAGCAGTGACCCAATTTTCAACGCATAATGTAAGGATTGCTGATTATATTGATATTTCTCTTTGAGCTTCTTCCGCAAAGGCTGCTCCTCCACAGCGAATACTTTCAGCATTACAATGGTACGTAAATTGAATATTATAATCATATTGCTATCGATTTACCACCGATATACACATGTATGTATATACCTTACACAGGCTCCGCAACCGACATCCCACACCATGCAGAATATTCCTCGGCCAGGTATTCCTGGTATAAATAAACCAAAAATACAAAATTTACCCCCTAATAACGGCCCTAAAATAGGGATTCCAAAAATAGTAGTCCCAAACACAAATATGCCAAATATTCCTAATGTAAACCATCCGAATGTACCACCAATTGGAACACCCAAACAAAAGATTCCCGGGGTTGGTATCCCGACTATTCCAACGCCAGATATTCCTGATATAAAGCACCCAAAAATAACAAAATGACCACCAATTAACCGCCCTTAAATAAAGACTCCTTAACCAGTCAGCCCAAATATTAATATGCAAGATATTCTTCTTACATTAGAGTTCTCTATTTAGTAAAAAACGATCAATAAATATTATGTTGGCTGCTTCACCGGTAATCCTCATCTGTAGCCCTTACATACATATATCATCGCGTGTTTCTCTATGTCGGGGAGGATCTGATGTGATTTGGTTATGCAAATTCATGTTTTAATTTTATGCAAATTATACACTGATTATGCTGTCAGCATCGCTCGAGGTTCCCACTCGAAAATTTTAAAATGTGTCGCATACTCGTGTACATGTTAGAACCGATTGTCGTGGTGGTTGTTGGCTACCGCTTAATCATTTTATATGGTAATTGTTGTTCGGCTGCCTTCCCCATGCAAATGTTTGCTCAATCGCATGTTGGCCATTTGTTGTATGCAAAATAGTTGACAATGCAATTAGATTTACCTCCCTTTAGGCCGCCTCCAGCACGACTTTCAGCATTTCATGCGCCACAAGCTAATCGAATCGATTGTCTTTGATTTGTAATTAGTTTAGCAAATGACTTTGCTGGATAATACATAATTACTACATATTTTTGTACTCGTAGCAGCTTATGTTTCAATGTTTCAATGTTAATCCTGCAGTGAAATCCTTAAAAATATTCATATATTCTTTTCCGTCAATCTGAATGTAAACTTCATTAAAACATATTCAATAGATCTCAAATCCATGCAGATTTATCCAATTTACATTCAGCAGCAGCCCGAAATTCAATTAATTAAACAAACTTAAATGAAACCCCATGCAGACACACCCATGATGGCGTCATTATCAGGCAGTGGCAGCAACAGCAGGCCCTGCAACAGCAACAACAACTATGCAACAACAATGCTGTGTGGCATAGTCAAAATATCTAACATACAACAGCTGGAAGACAATGCGAAGGCGGCAAACCCAAATCAACGGCAACATCCGTGCGGAATGGGATGCGAGAATGTTTATGCACATTATGAACAAGCATCGGCTGTACGCGACCCGTAGAGTTGGGTGATATATGTACATATGTACATATATGCATATAATCATACATATGTATGTATATAAAGGGGCATACCTATCACATAAACATTTTGTGCATTGCAAATCTGTTTTCCTGCTGCTGCCGCTAATGCTGTTCTGCTGGTGGCAGGCAGCTCTTAGCCCAGGATGCGGATGCGACCCCATTTCAAATCCTTCCAAATTATGCACGAAAATTATGTGTGCGAAAGCGAAAATTTCCACAGACAAAATGCTGGCTTTCCCACGTTTGTCTCCGACTACGAATGGTTTTGTATAGCGAATATTGCGCATACGACATGTGTTTGGCATATTTAAATGGGGCACAAACCCAGAGGCGGGAAAGATGTGGAGGGGCAGCAGAGTGGTGCACTGCCATTAGCCCAATTTGGGCATCACTTTAAGAAAGAGAGAGAGAGAGAGTGATACCATTTCAATTGTTTGCCTTTCGACCAATCATTTGTCAAATGAGTTTTCAGAAAATGTCACGCAATGCAATTTTCTTTTCGCAGTGAAAGCAGGGGAAAAGCCCCACGAAATAAATGATGCCAGTGCTTGCAATGCAGTGCTCCTGCTGGGAGTTTTAGTGTCATATAAGTAAATCCCAGTGGGAGATAGAAAAATGACTGAGAAGCGACTGTGAAAGTTAAAGTCCTGCAGAGGATATAGACTCCATGGTCTCCCTGGCATTATTACATTGTTACATGGGACAGCCATCAGGGGGCAAAGGGACTCAGAGAGGCAGATGCATGTGCGTCCTGCAGCCAATAAGTTGCAAGCAGCCGCTGCCACTGCCGATGCCACTGCAGCACAAATATCCCCTGTCGCAAGACATTTATGCACATTCGTGGGCGTGTGTGTGTGTGTGTGTGTGTGTGTGTCCCTGCTACTTCTGCACGTTGGCTGCGACTACAACTTAAAGCTTTTAATAAAAATGTCAAGTGCATTGAAGTGCATACGGGCGGGGGGCAACGCCAAAGAATTCGCATCAGCGAACGAGCGAACAAAGGTCAGCTGTGGCACCATTTAATGCATGTATGGGCGACCATTTCAGACCCTTATGGCGTTTCCCCAATAGTAAGCATGTAGTACCAATATCATCCACATTCTACTTAACGCCATTGAACTTCCCCTTTCCAACTTTATTGTATTGCAATTCAAAAGCCAAGGAGGAATAACACATTATAATGACATCGGCGTTAATAATTTACCTGCCAAATAGATATTGCTTTGATCCTTGATTAAAAACACAAAAGGCTGATTAACGATGAATGCCAAAGCCGTCTCGTAGCCCTTTTCGACATAATCTGAAACCAAAAGACTGTTTCATTATCAATTTCACACAAAATTCGTGTCGCTTTTCTTACTCGGCGCCAGGGGACATTCGCGGTCGCAGCCGCCGTGCATCTCAATGATTCCCTTGTGCTTGAAAGCCCCCAAACGGAGGTCATGCTTCTCGCTGAGACCGGAGAAATCGGGTTCCTGCAGTAGGGTATTCAGGCCCAGTCCGTGCCACAGCAGCCCATGGAGGCTGGTCTCGTAGTCAATGCTGAATTGCGGCATTTGTATCATAATACGCGTATAAGTGAAATGGTCCGTGAGTGTGAGGAGGTCATGTTTCCGGAAAAGCGCTGCTTGATACTCCGTAGAGCTGTTGATCATCGGGGACATTACAATGACGAGGCTTAGATTTCCCTCCTTGTAGGGTATCTCGATGCCGGCACCCCCCAATTCTGGCAGTGTCCCGAACCGCAGCACATCGTATTTCGTGTACATGGTAGTGTGCACGATGCGACCTTGTACATCGTAGGGCTGCCGTTCGCTCATCCGTAGGAAGGGCTTCTCGAATTCACCCCGGAAAAAGAAGCCGCTGGTGAGAGCCATGTTGGACCAAGAGGTAATGTCGGAGTCCCTCACAATATCGTCTATCTTGGAACCCGATTCCAAGTAAGTGTGGACGCTGATCGCCTTGGCCGCTGTCGTTGTGTGCTTAAAGCTCTTGTGCACTGCCCGAGTATTCAGAGTGCTGTACGCCAATTCCTGATAGTCGGACATCAGTGGGTAGCTTGTGTCCACGAAGATTCCGAAAGGTATCCGCATGGTCGTGTCCTTCTTGACTATCTTATATGTTATGTCTTTGAAATCCTTCAGAGCCTCTTTCTTGGTCTCCCCCACCAGCTCCAAGGCGTACTTCAGTTCATTCGCCGTCGCCCCCCTGGCACCCGCATAGAGCAACGCCAGGGCGCTCCTAACGCCCACCGGCGAGATGACAAAATTTTGCCGATCATTCTGTCCGTAAATGAGCGAAAAGAGTTGGTTGGATATAAAATCGGCATGGACCAAAGCCATTACGCACAGCACAACTGAAATATAATGAAATATGGATATATGAAGTATAGAACATTCTGGAGAGAAAATACAGGATAATTTACTTGAAAATTGACGGAGTAACATCTTGAGTTCACGAAAGTCACACTAAAAGTGGTACGGATGCATCGGATTCGCCTATTATTTAGCCAAAGAGCCGCAACGAATGGTTTTAAAGCCTGACATTCGCACTTATATAATCAATTGAAATTTTTTTGGTTTTTTTTTGTGTTACATAATCAAGCTTCCAGTTGGGTTCTGGTTTGGGGTCTCTTTGGCATGTCCCGGCCTTTGTTTCACACGACTTGCTCGGGATTTTGCCACAAGTTTTCCATGCCCCAAAAGTTTGTTCGGTTGGAAAAAGGTATGCAAACGTGTTATGCTTCTTCCTGCAGTTGAATGAGGTCTGACCCCCGGACTCCTGACTGCCAGGATGCCAGGGTGCTTCCTGGCTGACAATATTATTGAAAGCCCGACATTTAGATTGATTGCAGTTGCAGTTGCTCCGCAATCTTCATGCGATAACAATACGTGGTGCAGCAGCGCTTTTCACTCTTCCATCTATTCGTTTATTCGTTTTCTTTTTCTTTGTTTTTTTCCGTTTTTCTATTTTCCTTAATTAAAAGTTTGGCCAAAAATTGTTGACTTTGGCAAAGCGAAGAAGAAGATATTGTTGAATAGCTGGATCGCAAAATGTACGAAGTATCTTGGGTGTGCAGTTTACTTTTCTTTTAGGTTACTTTCTACCTCTGTTTTCGTTTCCTACTTGCGAGGGTGTACTTCCTCTCCTGCCAGTGGCGGGCAATCGTGCACAACTATTTCAATTTAGCAACACCGTACTTGAGAGAAGGTTTCTTCTATGCAAAAGTTTCCTTTTTTTGTTTTGTTGGTTTTGGTTTAAAAGATTCATGAACCAAAATAGCAGCAGATGGATGTCGTGGCAGAAATGCCAATACTCGTTAAAATTATTAAACTGAACTCTTTTTCTTTAAGCGTACACTTCAATTGAAGTGTTAGAGCTTCTATCAATACAATCAATGAAAAATTCCTATTGTCAGGTATTACTTGAGCATCTGCTTCATCAGTTCATAGCATGACTACCCCCTGTACCCACACTGGAAGGCTTATTGACAATTGCAAATTTCCCACTCCCCCACTCTATGTATAGCGCTTTCGTTACACCCCTCTACCAACCAGCACATCACGCCATCTCTACTGTTCTTCGGAGTCGAACTGTAAATTATGCATACAAATTAGAAACTACCGTTCGTTGTAGAGAGGATGACGTAAACATACTCGTAGAAATGTTGAATAATAACATTAATGAAAACAATGCACAAGCATAGCCAGGCAGAGACAGGGTTGGACAGAGTGGAGTGGGGGTGAGTTGAAGTAAAATGTGTGACAAGAGGATAGAGAGGGACAAACAGCTGCCGGAAGCAAAGGCAAGCAGAAAATTAAACAGAACAAAGCAAAATGAACAGAGAGGCAAAAGCATGATGGCAGATGGCGACAAGATAAACACCCACACACCCACACACACACACACACACTACACTCTTCCGCACAGTCACTCATATACATACATATGTATGTACGTGTACATGCACGGAAACTGCACAAGCAGCTTTGACAACAATCACAGTGAGCGCCAAAAGAAAACAACAACAGTGTAGCAACAATCCCTATCAATTCCATGCTTAGCAACCTCACATTAAAGAAAAACAGTAACAGAGAAGAACACTTGCGAAGGCTTAGATACACTTCAACAGCAACCAAATAGTTCCCATGACAGGTATACTATATCTTCGTTCTAGATCGATCAACGAAACCTGTATTATATAATGATCTACAAACACCTCAAATGAATCAAAGTACCGTACCCTCTTTAAAGGGTACAATGTAGAAAAAAGCATAACAAAAGGACTAAATCTCATCAGCTTTCACATCTGATGTTACATCTGTCTGTTAAGTAAGCAACAAAATAAATACAACAAAAGAAGTAAATACTATGCTGCTGGAAAAAGCACCAGAACAAATGCAAAATTTTTGCATCCTCGCAAGTTGAAAGAAAAATAAACGACAAGAGACACAACAAGAGTTTGCCTCGAATGTGTGCGTGTGTGTGTGTGTGCTGGCCGAAAAGGATCTGTTACCATGTGTGCGAGCAGTGATTATTTTAGCATGTTAACTAATACCATCTTTTGTGCTTGCCACAATAGATACACATTCTGTAAACTGTAAACCTTTCTAAGTGATGCACTAGGAGGAAGGGATAGAGATTCAAGTACACAATTTTGTTTAAAATTCGACAAAATTCAGAATAAACTTTAGATTTTGTTACTTGTAGAAAGAACCTTCAGATTTTTCGCACTATTAAAGCTTTTCGAAATTCTTAATTTATATTCAACAGAAGGACATTGAAACCGCACAAAACTCTTTCATCATTCGCTTCTTACGTGTATGAAAGCATCTCCCATCATTCGTTCCATTCACTCTTAGCAGCAACTCTTTCATTTTGCAGCCCTGCGGTTTGGTTAGCCGCATTTTTGACTGTCCCACAAATGAGACATGAAATCCACTTTACCCCCAGCACATAGCTCCCATTTTGTATCCAATCAAAGTCACCTTTGTGGCTGGGTTAGGCAGGCAAAAGCCGCTTCACTTATTCATTGGCAACCGCAAATCTTTTATTTGACTTCTGGCAACTCCAACGTGGCATGACTTTTACTTTGGGACACACTTTTTGCCACCAAAAATCAAGGAAAGAAGGGGTTTTCCTTCAAAGGGGGCTGCTGGGTGAGTTGGCATTTCGGTTTGGCAAAGTTTTTTAATTAATTAGGGGAAAAGTCTAAGTCGAAAGTTGCGGCAATTAAATGTGAGTTAAAGTCACCAAAGAAAATTGTCAAAATAAAGAAAATTTCACAGAAAAAGGTGGAGAACAAACAGAGAGAGAGAGAGAGAGAGAGAGAAAAATATTTAATAATGGATGACGCAGTCACGTTTTTTCAGCTGGGGGTTCGGGAAGGGAAAAGCAGGAGCCGGAGCATATGACGGCCGCAGAGGCGCACACATGTCTCGAGAAAAAGTATGCACACATGTGTATTGTATGTGAGATATATGGGTATATGTTTATATGCTATGCTTACACTGTGCTCAACAAATATGCGCCTAATAATGTCTCAAAGATGGGTATGGAGATGGAGATCTGCCCCATGTGCCCCACCAAAGGCTTAAAATATTTGCACGTAAAATGTTTGGCGGAAAATCTCAACGGAGATGCGTGCAGAGAGACAGAGGGAGACAGCACTCAAAGACAGAGAGATAGCCACACACACACACATACTCGTACATGGATGGCTCTTGTCAGAACGCAGCTGTTGCGTTGCGTCTGCGTCCGCGTCCGTTGTTCCACATGGCGTATTCGTAATGCCTTTTGAAAATGCCATAAGCATGTGCCTTTAATGACATCATTTTGCCTTTTGGCGAAACGAAAATGCCTGCAAAGTGTCAAAAGTTGATGGTTTTATTGCTTTCTTATTGCATTTAAAGATATATGAGAAATGCAAATTATTTTAAAGCAATGATGCTGTGGTAAATATAAATGTATTTGTGTGTATGTTTTTAGTAGGATAAGTATACAGATTTCTTCTGGCTTAACGACCCAAGCACCTTTACCAAATTAATCAGCATGATTATGCTGGCAACGGCAGAAACCCACTTAGACCGAGTCCTAATTTATTAATTAGTGATTCGTTAGTGTTACGCACTTTGGGTTTTCCCAAGAAGAAATAAGCCCACACAAAAAACAAGGCAACAAAGTGTCGCAGGTAAAACAGAAAGAGAAACAGAAACAGCAACACATGCCACGGAATGCAAACATGTGAGATTCCCAGGTGGAACAGCGTTTACCTGGGGCTTAATTAAAATAAATAGACACATGCTACTGCTGCCACCACACCCGCCTCCGCCTCCGCCTGTGTCCTACGTCGTTCCGCATCCTTGATGTGGTGCTGGTGCCGCCTCGTTATTATGCAGCGAGCGTGTTTGGCATTAACCAATATAAGTAGTCGGTTCTGCCAATTTCCATAAGTCAACAGGGAAGGCCGGCCGCAAGCAGAGCGGGAGACCAAAACGAAGTCAGCAATTAAAAGCGTTGTTCATCATGCGGACAGAGCGGACACTGCGGACACACTTTTGCGGTTAGTTTGCGGTTAGCACTGGTTAAATATTTCCCCCTCTATCCGAGATCCTCTCTTTTCTTTCCTGCCGGATTACCCGTATTCAAATCAGTTGCAACGCCCAATTAATGTAAGCGGACACAATGTTGCATACTAATGAGACAGGAGACAATTCCGCCGCCGAGACGACTCCCAACCAAATGAACATGGCAATAAAGATGTGCAGAACGATGTTTGATACATTCTCCTAGGCTGCTCCTCTGGCTTTGACTTTGTTTGCCGCAGAGCTTGGGGTTTTTGATTTTTTAATTAAGAATAAAAGGAGTGGGGACGTAAAAATCATGCAAATTTAAAACGCAAACAATAAAATTGCGGAATTTCAGATATAGTTTGAAAGGACTAAGATGTTTCTTGAGGTTAGAAGTTGTTTAATTTTGTATGTCAATTTAATCAAGAGGTCAAGCATTACTTATTCAGTGGTAGTACTCAGGTATTTTGTCCATGTCCAAACCCTAAAAATATAATGAAATAACGTTTGTACGACCATCACACTGTATTTAAGACCCGTTGTAATATCCAATTAGAAATCTCGCTATGTAATTAAAGTGGAATAATTAAAGCAGTAGTAGGGAGTAGCATTTATCTCTACTCCGTGCCCTCAGAAGTTATGTTCTTCTCATAAGTTTTTTGTTGCCTGACAAATGATAATGTAATGTCATCATATATTACGCATACGCCAAGGGTCTCCTCTCTCCCTCTCGCAGCTCAATTACAAAAACTTATAACTTTCAGTTTGGCAAAAAGCAAAAAGAAATAAAGCAAAGTGGAGCGATGACTGCAGAACACAGTCTTCCCCACACTCGTTGCTAATGAAACTTAAAGATGGCGCCGCCGGATGAGAGAAAAGAAGCGAGAGAAAGGAGCAGGAGGCCAACGTTATGGAACAGGGATATGTCTATGTGTATGTGTATGTGT